ACTGGGGGGGGGCTCAATGCTTTGAATAAAGGAAACTTTTATATCTCTATTTAACTTTTACACTTTTTGAGAAGTTGAATAACATTTAAGGCACATTTCTGGTGGATTTAATATATGTTTTATCAGTATTTCGTGCGCAATATGAATATCGCGTGGATTATTTTACACTCGCAGGTTAATACAAATCCAGATGATTACTTAATAGGAGAAATTTTTCCAAAATTGAAATCTTATTATAATGTTAACACACTTAAGACGCAGAGATGTATTACGGTTCACTCTTCCCAGTGTCTTTCCGAGGTTAGTGAGCCAGTAACACGTGCTTTAGTCAACGAGGTAAGACTCAACATTTGTCAGCGTTCTTGTAACCCTTTCACGCCGTTGATGCACTCGTATTGAGTACAAAAGTACTTTCTTTTATATTCACATTAATATCTTTATTGTTGGAAAGTCTTTGTTATTTTCTTTCTTCTTTTTTTCTGGAAAAAAACTTATCGATATTCTTCAGTTTTTGGAATAAAAAGTGTAGATACAGCTGAAATTAGAATATACTAAAAGTCTAAGACTTTTCTACCGTGTCTATGGTGGGTAACAAGCCTTCCGGATTGAATATGGGCTTCATTATGAAAATATGGCCGTTGTTTGGAACAATTTGTTCTCAAATCAGTAACCAACAACAAACTTTCATTGTAATTTGTTAAGTGTGGGGGAATTATTTGACGCATTTTAGTAGTCGTCTAGCATTACAGCTTGATCCCTACAGAGTAATTTGTAAACAAAAACAAATGTGCGAGAAAATTTTCAAATAAGGGCAACAAATTGTCAGTTTGTTCTTGTACTTATTTTATACAGAGGCTAAAAATTTATCAGAAATAGGTGATTGCAGTGGTTGCGATGTTCGCTTATAGCTGGTTTAAAGAGATTCTTTTAAACTTTTTCTTTCTTTTCGGACTGAAAAGTACCTAGGCTACAATAGTTAGCTATACCTGTGCTAGATATAAAGCTTCTAGCTCAAGTGCTATAATTACGGAAGATATTATGTAATTACTTATTACGAATAATTTTTATGAATGATATAAACGTGTATTAGGTATTTATCATGGTTAACTGTCATATGTATAAATTGACAGTAGCTATAATTAAAAGGGTCTGGCTTTGTAATTGAAACCAACGACCTAATGCATTATATAAATTTTCGTTTACAAGTTTTAGTCTTATGTTTGTGTACTTTAGAATTTCATTTGGTTCGGTCATTCCGCCATACTTTGTGAAAAGTCATACAAAATGTGCTATCAACGTAACAAATGGATCCACCACAGTTCCATTAACTAATTATTGAAAAGTAGTGTGTTTTTATAACACAATACCAGTATTTTAAAGGTTTATCATAAAAATAACTTTTACCAGGAGTTACGATCGAAAATACCAACAGAGGATTTAAATCAATTATTAAAGTATTCTAATTTGTAAAAGAAAATTGACCAATAACATATTTTGTATTCGCCAATTTTCACGTACAGCTTTTCCCAATACTTGTGTGTACATGGTACATAGTTCATACATAATCTGAAGCAGCAAATTTCTGAGCGTAACTTACCCCTAACCAATTGAAAATGAGTTACTAATTAAGTTATTCGTATGAATCACTTTGAGGGCGCACTTCATGAGTATATTTTTTATGCTGTTAATTCCGTTATTGAAGACAAGCAATCATGCAAGAGAAATGCGAGATTTTATTATGTGAGACTTGCAGAGATGCGAGAAAAAATTAGAACTTCCAAAAAATCACGCGAGACAGGAACTTACTAAAGAAAATTAGAAATTTCATGACATGAAACAGGATCTTACATGATGTCAGAAATAAACGTGTTAGATAAAATATAAAAAAACACCCTATTACGTGAGCCCAAATTTATTTTTCGAACAAAATACAGTTGAAGCCTTAATCATTTTATTTAGAACTGTGTTCATTTATAAGTAATGGTAGCTGAAGCCTAGAAAATCACGTAAATAAAGAGGTCAGTAACATGGATGATGACGATATGTCAAGGTATTAGTATATAGAAAGTTAGTGGTCGGTAGTGTATCTTTTAGGCGACATGGAGTTAGAAAGTGAATCCTGGTTGTAATAAATTAGAAGGATCTTCGAAGGAAGGTTTATACTTTAGTTTGAAACCATTTTCAAAATGACTATGTTTCCAAATGCTTTTGTAATGACAGCACGTCGCATACGTTATAATAATCTACTTTTTTGTTATGTAGAAAGAATACATGTCCTTACTGAAAGATTACCATTCTGAAAGTTGCCTCCTGCAAATAGACACCTGCCCTTCTTTCCACTGGAGACCTACCAAGTAAGCTGTGTTGCTTCGTGCTGCGGGTAATTTCAGCGTGCAGTATATGTTACTATAGTTTAATTTTATGAGCTTGATTACGCTGAGAAGCCTTATTACAGTTTCATCGTGCAAGAGGCTTCTGGAGGGGGTAGGTTACAGGCTCCTGTATCGTATGTCTATAAAGTATTCCCATGTGACGTCATAACCACAGATGTTGGAATACTATCTTGTATCCATGGTAGGAAAACTGCATATGTGCTTGAAAAGAAAAAACAATATTTGCTTTGTTAGAAAAAGTGCTGAATACAGCTGTTGCGGCACTTGTCTAATGGCGTTGAGAGGTTCAACGTTACTGAAAGGGTTCTAGATGACAAGTAAATAGCTGTTCTGTAAAATGTTGTTAAGTTAGATAATTTGTTTTTACGTTGCAGTATAGTGTGGTCTGCTATTGCCTTGTTTAATTTTCTATGTTTGTATGCTTCTAAATATATGATGTCAAAGCTGTGCTATTAGAACTAACTGGTGGGTAGCATTACTCAAGACTGCACTGTTTATATTAATTACTGAAGACAGCCTTGAAGTTGCATGTTGTTATTTTTTACACACTTTGTTGTAATGGATCTTGCCATTCAGTTAAGCACAAATTTATGTCAGTTTTATTAATATTTTATACACATTAAATTATCATTAGTCTAGAAAGTTTTTCATTTATTTTGCTCTGATAAAATTACTTTAAAATATTGAATCTTGTTTCATTGTATGATATTGATAGGCTCTTGAAGAACGGACTTTGTGCAGAATTTATGAAAAGTGTTTGTACTTATAAGAAATATATATGAATTAAGATATATTTTGATAGTTTTTAAATCAATTTTACCAGTACCTTGTTTTCCTAGTAGCTTATCATACTGTTTATAGTAACTTTGATCTCATTAAAATTCAGGCTAGAATTCTTATAAACAATTATAATTGTCTTGTTATGTGGAAAGACTAAAATACGCTGGTGATTCTAAAGTAAGCAAAAATAAATACATTAGAGTGTATTGTTCACAAAATCTATTATTTTGTGATCTAATTTCGAGGTGCCTGGTGAAGAGGAAAGAATTTTTATAGTTCGTTGCTAAATCTCGAAGTTGACAAATTATAATTTTTGTTTAATGATGAAAGAAATAGGTTATACAATGGTTTAATTGAAATATTAAGACACGAACAATGCCGAAACTTGTATTTATTTTAAACACTTTGAGAAATTTACAATATATAACAACGGTATTTTTATGCGAATTTGATTAAATATACAGAAATGAGCATGTTTATAACGTACACAAGCTAATATATTTATGGAATATCATTGTAAAGAGACCACTATACACAAGAACTTTTATAACACATAGGGACTGTATAGTTTTTAAAGCTGCACACTACAAGTAAATGAGGTATTACGCGGATAAACTGTACAATAAAACGATAAGTTATGAAACCTGTGATGTATTTATAGACACCCATTTTTAACTGTTACACGTTAAGCAGATTGTTGTACAAATAGGATATAGTATCGTGTAAGAAAACTAAACAATGTATGAAACTAATTGTATCAGTAAAGAGGTAAACAATGAAATGTAATGTCAGTGATGTAATATGGACAGCTTGTATGACGAACTTGAAGAAATGAGACTAAAATATAAAGACGTGTCTCTGATTTGACTTCACTAGGGTTCTTCGGCGAAATAAATTAATATAATTTATTGTAAAATGATAAAAATATTAAAATATAAAAAGACTACTAAAGTTTAAGTCAGAAGCTTGTTTTATGTCAGAGGGTTTAAGTTCAATCTCTTGAACCATCTGTTTCTGTTTATTTTTACACTCAAGATCATACAGACCTTGGCCTGGTAGTGGCCGACTGTAAGGACGTAGGTTGCTGGATCAATAAGAAATGGTTACGTATGTAGGGAGCGAGAACCAGTACCAGACGTTATCTCTTTGTAGGTCTGTTGCAGTCTTTTTATCGTGTTCGCAATGATCTACCATGTGATGCGAGAATTTATGCATTCAGCTTTCTTCCGTGTTTAGAACTTGGTGGTGGCGGATTATTTCATTCGATTTTCACCGTTTTTTTTTTTCTTTACGCTATATGTATACACATATATTCCTAATTTTGAATGTTGGGATTCGCTTATACTGCTGTATGGTTGCTGATCGATAGTGAGCGATCGTCATGGCGCTTGATGCGTGACCACAGAACGAAGTTTTTACTTCTTCCATTCCATGTATGAAGCATGTAACCCATTTCACATCTGTCAAAACAAAAAGAACAATGAACTTTGAACTAAACAGGCCGTTTTGTGTTTTTACATTTTCTGTCATTGATAAAGCATGGAATATTTTATGAGGCATCGAAACGTGGGATAGTTAAACTTTGTAGTTGCGCTTATATAACAAAAAAATATGAAACTTGACAATAACCTTAAATAATGTTATTGCAGATTTAACTGGGCAGTACGTAGTTACTTTTAATTGATGTGTTAACTATATGCCTTTAAAATGAAACTTAAAACAAACACTAAAATGCCCAGTAGTCTCTAATTAGCGTTTTAAAAATGGTTCTGTATCAGATATGGTTTGACTTAAATAATTCTTACCCTAAAATATAATTTGTAATTTACTTAAATATAACTGATAATATATACAATTTACTTTGTAAATCTGGTTCACACCATAACAGTTGTTTTTCAAGAATATATATTTATTTAGAACCTAGACGACTACTACGTCTATCATATCCCAGCCGGCCTGATGGGCTCTGGTATTGGAGATGGCAGATTTAGTGTGGTTGACGTAACATATTATTCATTGCTTTCACTCACGGATTCATAGGAATACAGACACTTAATAGTAGCTCAGAAAACACGGAGAGTAGTAAACTTGAACTGTTATAACACCACAAGAATTTCATTTACCATTCTAAACCACAAGTACCTCCGCACAGTTTTTGCGATTTATGTTTACGGGACGTGCACATCTGGATCCTCTTACGAAAACACTACCATTCCGGTTTATGATCATGTACATCTACAAGCACGTGGCTAAACTTTATGCAAGTCTGGTATTTCTAGTTTTCTATATGTGAATAAGGACTTGACGTTTATACGTGTTTTTATGTTCACTCAATAACTACACTTCAGCTTTACTATACAACTGTCTTATCCAGAAGTTTCATAAAAAACTTAACACTGGTAAACATTACTTATTCGAATCTTGATTCCCGTACATGGTTATTTTACATGAACTGATTGAAAACAAACAACATATTATTGACCTCTAATTAAGTAGTAATACTAGTTAATTGCATTTTGATATTAACTTAACTTTTATCTGCAGCGGTAAGTTTGTGGAATTATAACGCTAAAAATCGGGTTTTGATACCCGTGATGGGCACAGCACAGATAGCCCATTGTGAAGTTGTATGCTCAACTAAAAACAAACAAAATTTATCTGCAGTGCGACATCAACGTGAAAAATTATACACCAGAAAAGTATAAAGCCCTATCGGACTTCTTACATTACCAGTAAAGCATTTTAAATTTCACCCACGAACAAAATATTTCAGTTATCAAACTGTATTTCTCCGTCTAGAGTTTCATAAATTTGGTTAAACGAAAATTAGTAATTGTCAAGAACTGTGTGTTAATGCTTTTATCATGAATATATACTTTAAGATGGATATTTACAAATAATAACATAAGTAATGGAAATTTGTTTCCAGTTTCGTGATTGTACAAGATACATATTTGTTAAATACTTTTGTACATTAAAGGATTGTAGTTAATGCATTTTGTGTTTAATAGGATGATATAATTCCATACGTAACAAGTTAAAAAAAAAGTGCCTGGGATTCGTTTTAACTCGTTTTTATTTCCCTACTTCTTCCTTCACTTTAGTATTACTCTAACACGTCATGATACCCGCTTTGAACCCATTGGAATCCTGGACGTATTCTTTAATACCAGTGGCTTTCCGTCATGTTGTCATTCTTCTTTAATTGCGTAATACCATGGAAACTTGCAGACAGCCAAGTAGACCACCGATTTCTTCAGCTCCTACATCTCTTCCACCTCCTCCACCACCACCACCCTCTCACGTGGGAGCCATCCCCCATCTACCGTTTTGTCCTCACGGACCATATGCTCCTCGAGCATCTCGGCAAACTGCAAGTAAGTGACTTTTTTTGCTATTTTTATGATTATCGAAAACAACGATAAAGGTAACATGTAACACTTTATTATTCTACTAAGTAAGCTGTGTGTAGTGAGTAATATATTTTTGTGTAGCTTCCATAGTAAAAAGTAGTGTAAGTGCGTCACTAACAATAAAAATCGGTGCATGTCGTGCACTGCCAGGTTTTTGTGCTTGTCACTAAAACTGCTCCATGGCTTAAGTTATCTGGTAGCATATTTCCATTCACCCAGTCAACCCGCTGCAGTTGCGTAAGTTATCATAGAGTCGGTAGACTGTATATATAGGGGTGGCCAAGGGACTCAATTGGCATAATACAAATATGCACGCAAAAAAAAATCAACAATGACAGAGATTGTTTAAAAGATAATTACCACTCGCTTCCATTTGTTTCTCTACCAAAGAAGACAAGAAACCATTGCTAAGATATCAAACCAGAAAGTGACCAACTCGTCAAATTGTTCATCTTTCATCTTCTTGTTTCAGTATAGATAACTCTACAATTACTTTATCACTAATGTCACTATGTGATTCTGGGCAGTGCACGATTTCATTGCTTAGTCATAATAACCAGCAATAATTCAAAAAATAACAATTCTAGTGTAAACGATGTCATCATTACCCATTGAAGTTAGCTATCTTACAGAAATCTAGTGTTCCTTTAAAAATCTTAAGTAAGGGTGAAACAGGAATTACCAGCAAATAACCATGAACTGTAAGTGACTAACATGTAGAATACTCAGTGCTTTGTACACTGTATAATTGGTGTCTTTAGGGAGCCAATCCCTAAATTGTTTATGAAATCAAGGAGTAAAAAAAAAATCAGGACAGATAATATTTAATTTTATTACACACATTCTCAGAATACACCAACTTTCAGTGAGGGGAAAAGAACCTCTCAAAACAAGTAATAAAAAACATTTTGTAAATATAAAATGATGTAGGATAGCGTTGATACAGCTATACATGACTTTCAATATTAAAGTTTAATGTTACACTATAAAATGCACAAGTTCAAAATGGTTACGAGGTCGGTCAAATTGACCGACCTCGTAGCGAGAGTCTGTACTTGTCTGTAACAATCAGGACATGTACATAAGACCTAGGCTTTTAGTTACACTACATTAATGCCTACCACGACCATGATATTATGATAAACAAACTTCCTATCAACAGTCAGGAATATATAACTTCCAACTGCAGTAATATTAAAGTCAAGTATGCATTTTACAGTGTAACATTAAAGTTTAATATTGAAAGTCATGTAGGGATGATCTTTGTATAGCTGTACTATCCCTATATTCTTGTTTGCATTCTTTTTGGCACTGCCATCCCTACATAACTATACATTTGCAAAATATTTTTTTTTACTGAATATCTTTATGTTACTGTTAGTCATGCTTGAGTTTGTTGGAATCGTCAGTGCTTCGGTTATAGTCTCTGTCCAACGTTTCCTTCATAAGGTAATGACTCAATAAGCAAGTTCAACTCGCAAGTTAGGGCTATATATTGTTTTTTAAATTTTCCTCGTAGGTCAAATGTAAGTTTACGGACTAAAAATGCAAAAATTCGAGATTCGATACCCCGCAAAGGACAAAGTGCAGATAACCCGTTGTGTAACTATGCGCTAGGAAGACAACAACAACGCCAACAGCAACATTTTTAATTCATTTAATATATATTATCAAAAAGGAAGTTTTATTATGAACGACTTATTAAAATTCTTTACTCATGACATTGTGTTGTCATTGTATGAATTATTTTATTTATTTACCGGCGTTATTCATTAATTCGTATTTACGATGTGTTTAACTGAAATAAATATGAATTCGTTTTCAACAGTTCTCACAAAGAGTGAAAGTAATATTTTTCTTATACCTTTAGAAAAGATTTATTCTCTTATCTAACAGATTTTCTTTCTTTTTTGGCTTTTTTCTTGGTCAATTTAGAAACATATTAAGGTAAATATTTAGGTCAATGAGAGCCACAAATTTCATGTTAATGCACCTTAAGACCCTCCAGCTTCCAAAGATACATAGTCCTTGAGCTGCTGTATATTTATTTTTTTTCCATCATGGGTGCAGGTACATCTAATTTTCTGGTGCACCACCAACTTATGGGTCCGGGCGCGGTACAGTAGTTAGCGTGCCGGACTGTAGATCCGAGGTTCCATGGTTCGAGCTCCATTATCGTCGGAAAAAATGGCGCTTCGCACTTTGTAGCCGTGGGTGCGTTATAAAAGTGACATCGAATACTACTATAAGATTAGAGTAGCATACATGTTGATAGTATTGACCAGCTGCCTTCCTTTTCTATAATGTAATCACTTCGAAATTAGGGATGGCTAGCGCAGATAGCCCTCAAGTAGCTTTGTTCGAAATTCACCAAAATAAGCAATCAAATCCAACCTAGAGGATCACCCTACGACCCTGCTTGCAGGTGTAACGTGCATTTGTGTGTCTGATAACTGTGCATATATCGAGGAAGATGCGGCTTAAAGGCATATAGTGATTTTTCTAATTTGTTCATCCCCCGATAATTAATGCCATATTTTGTTTTATAGTAGAAGGAAGAGGGAACCCTCAATAGCCGCGGCACTTGAATTTTTTAGGC